CCCCGGCGGCATCCCCCTATTTGAGCCGGAAAATTGGAGAAGTGCGGCGGCGCAAGCGGGAGGCCCCGGGGGCCAGCGGGGTCGGGGTGGTTTTTGCCCATTTCCATTCCCTGCTGACGGCGCTTGCCGATAAAAAGCAATTCAGGGCTCAGTGAGGACATGGGCTTCCCGAAACTGGCTCTGTTTTCCCCTTCTGAAGAAGCCGAGTCTTGTAAAGGTATCAGTCCTTTGCCCCAACATTTATTCTTAACCCACACAGCCACACGAACCTGGAGGTTTTTTGGGGTGCTTTTCTCTCCTGCGTGATTAAATATTACTCATTTCTCCTACAACCAGACTCCTGCCCAAGCTTTGTGGCCAATTACTCCAAAACTCTGCCAAGTGACCTTGTGCCCATCCCCTCTATTTCCTTATCGGCCTTTCCTGCTTCCAAATGCCACGCGGCCGCCCGCAAACCCAAGCTCCATCACCAAAGCCAGCGTGTGGATATGGTCCCTGGATTTTATTTGATCTGAGCTCTGAAGATGTGACATGCCACACGGTGTAATAAACCCCCCAGACACACCGTCCTTCCATGAGCGCTTCACGCGGAAAGAATTGCAAAGTCGATCCTACAGAGACAGGAGCAGCCTCGACAGAAAAAAGGCTTCACAGTCTATAGGCAGGTAAATAAATGACGGCTCCATATTCCATGCTGATCGAGGGGGGAAAGACACCCCCACAAACCTGCCACGGGGCTGGGGTCAGCAGTGAGCCCCCTTCCCTGCTGGGGCCAGACACGGGGGATCTCGTGAAGGGGGGGGAAGCGAGGGCAGAGTGAGGGGCAGCCAGGTTTGCACGCCTGTGCATCGTCCGTCAGCCTGACTCGGGCCTCTGAGTGTCAACTTCCTTAGCAGGAAACTTATTTTTTCTTCCTGCGAAAAGCAGAAGGAGGAGAAACGTGTGAAAGCAGAGAAAAGAGGGTCCTGGGGGGAGGAAGCGGCTGCCCCAGCTGAGGGAAGTCATTTCCCTGGGGCAGGCATCACCGGCGGAGAGATCCCCCGGCCGCCCCACGCTGTGCCACCAACCCAGGCACAACGAAGGGACAGCTTTCCCAGCTGAGCACCGACGCGCTTGTTGCACCCACAATGAGCAAATCTCACTCCTGCCATTCTCCCCTCCTCCCCAAATTATTCTTTTTTTGGTCAAAACATTTTCGGGGGCGCAGCATTGTGCACAAACCAGAGAGAACACAACCCCAAAGCAACTTACGTGCTGGCAATACGCTTCAGCAGTTTCTTTACCCAAGGGGCGTCAGGATTCACGCACACCTTCCCTGAGGCTTTTAATTTAATTCTGAAACGCAAGGAGAGTTCACGAGCATTACTTCCCCCTCGAAAGGCAGGGATTCGAGCGGCCTGAGCTGACGGGCAAGACTGAGCTTTCACTCACAGCGACAGCAGATCACAGCAAGCTGCCAGCAACAGAGGGAAACTAAAGGACAGCCAGGAAAAAGCAAGATGCAACACGTTCCCGTGCTGGAGCTGAGACCATGCTTGAAGCCCAAGGGACTGCTCAAAGACAATTTTCCCCGTAGATTTACAGAGCAGTTAAAGAAATGTTCTGCTTCTGCTTAAAGCACCGATTCAGTCAGGACAGGAGTAATGAGGTAAGAGCTTGAGCCAGGACACTCTTTGCTCTCAGGACTGTTGCAGCAGCAGAAAAATTGATTGTGGCTCACCCAGCTTTAGCATCCGAGAATGTGCTTCTCCCAAACTGCAGACACCTCCCCATCAGCACACTGCCCACCTCCCAGCATGAGGAAATCATGTTTGCCCTTGCTGGAGAGGCTCACTTGGGTCCTGAGAACCTCTGGCAGGTGAGCTCCGGTGTTACCTCCACCGGGGGTGACCTGACGTTCCTCAGTTCCAAAGTGCGAGTCAGCTTGCCGGCATTTTTGAAAAGCTTGGCTTTTCAGAAAAGGGTGGGCAGAAGCGAGGTGGCTGCAGAAGGAGAGGGGAGAGTAGCTTTCCGCCCCACGAGCGACCCGCAGCACTTACATGATCTCTGTACGTCTGCAGGTGCTTCCCACAGGTCGTATCTCAATGCTTTCGTATCTCTTCGGACTGATGTAGTCCGAAGTTGTCTTTACGCACCTACAGTTCAGGTTTCCGTTCACCTCCAGGATGGCTGAGAAAGAGAGAAGGGAGTAACTCACAGAGACAGGGTTACCTAGAGATGCGGCAACTCCCAATCTCTCAGAAAACCAAAGAAATGGTCCCTTTGCGTGCTTTCACCGACAACACGTTAGGGACCGTGGGAAGAAGCTGTTATCTGTGCCTCTCCCTCGGCACCCTGCTCTCACACAGCTCCTGAAAGCTGAACTGGATCCTGGCGAAGGAGGACGGCCACGTTCTTTCCTCAGCTACAAGAAAACCCTGAGCTGAGCAGCCAGGAGAAGCCCCTGCCTCGCCCAGTCCCTTTCGGCGCAGGACGTGGGTGATGCCCACCCACAGCGAGCCGCAGGGATCTCTGGAAGCTGGGAGAAGCTCACCTGCCTGGACTGAGTGGAACAGCACCAGCAGCACCAGCAGGAACCACGGGAGCACAGGAGCTCCTGCCCCAACCCGAGGCAGCATCCGCATCCTCGCAGCGGCTCAGTCCCGGAGACGATCTGAGGAACCGGGTGAAGAAACACTCCTATTTATTTAGGAGGGTCACGCACTGACATGAGCGACAAGATTCAAACTTCATCTGACCAGCAGACCGTGAAGAAAGGTGACGTAATTTCTCGGATGTTCCCCGCAGACAGGTCAGAAGCCGAATTTTACAATATTATTGATTAAAAGCAGCCATTGGAACAAAGCGCATATTTGGATTCCCCACGTCATCTTCCCCACGCCTGATTTCTGAGTAGCTGGGTCTGTACAAATATCAGCCTTCACTCCCTTTAGCATTTACCCCTCAACCACAAAAAGAGCCCAGAATAAAATCAAAGCACAAACCCTGGGTACACAGTTCGGGGGTTTTTTTAAACACGGTCAGATATTTACATATTTCTTTCTTTGGGTTATAATGCCTCCGTGCTATTTTTGCTATCTCTTTCATCAGCAAAAACGCCTAACACCGTACAAGGGGAAAAAATAATAAAGATCTTCGCTACATGTTTCCACTCAGACCGTTTGAATCTAACACTTGGTGAGTAAAACACCGAGGAAATGCAAGAGATGACTGGTACAGCAGCACCAGCAAAAAGCAAACTATTCCTGCATCTCCGAGAGCCTGCGACTACGTGCCGACGTGCGCGTCTATCAGCGGCCAATTTCTTGGTGCCTGGGAGTGAAATGCAGATGGACCCCAGAGAAAGGCACCGCGAAAATCACCGGGGCTGGGATGGACTCAAGGATTTGTGAGGATGAGAGCTGAGCTCTCTCATTGCTGTGTTGGGTCTGGAGGGAGAGGGGCAGCAGCCCTTGAGCGAATCCAGGTGTTATATCTGATAACACCGGGATTGAAACCCCATTTAGATGCACAAGCAGCCATGGCATGGCACCAGGGGGCCTTGGCTGCATTTGGTAGTTCTGCATTTAGGGCCTGAAATAGCCTGGGCTCAGTTAGAGGCATCCTGCCTGCCCATAGTTTCAGGAGAAGTAGCTTTTAAAACGTTATCAGCTCAGCAAGCCAGTTCTCCGTCACTCACAGCAGGGATAATCAAATGGTAGCGGGCAAACTCTTGACACCAGATGAGTACATGGCAGCAAGGAACCACGGGAGCACACAGAAAGAGAGGTCAGACCGCGCACATCCTCAAAATGCTGGAAAACCGTACGCCCACGAGGCTTTAAGGCTTTAATCTGGCAACGCTGGGTCCTCCAGGCCTTACATACAAGGGAGTACACTTGCCTGTTCTGGGGTACCATCAGCTGGCCCTGCTCCACCACACATTTCACAAATCTTTTGGGTTTCTCTCAAAACAAGCCATTGAAGCAGTGAAACAATGCTTTTTGGCAGGCAAGGGGCCAGTCCTGCAACAGCATCACACAGGAGATTCAAGGGCCAAGGCTGCAAAGCAACAGCTGCCGCATCAGCACCCCGGGCGCTCAGGTTCTGGGGGGGACAGGGGGGTGTCTGGATTAAGGCAAAGTCACCATCCGGGAAGCAGAAAGCGGAAGGGGACCTGTGGCCACGATAGCAAGGCGAGGAGGAAGGAAGAGGACAGCAGAAAAACGATGTGGCTGCGTGATAGTGTTGAGCTTTCAAATCACATCAGCACTTTATACAGTTCAAAATGGTAAACCGAAAAAGAAAGAGAAAATACATCTTTCACTCATACTGTAAGGTACACATCTTTCTCTTAAAAACTTGGTTTTCCTCTGAGATAAGTCCAAAAGTCTTTGAAACACTTTTGTTTCTGAACCTCACGACTTGAAAACGAGCTTTTATAGCTGGGGAAAACCAAGAGAAGTGAAAATAACTTTCCCCAGAGCTGCGTGGCTGAGAGGACGGAGTTGGGACACGCAGCCGACGTTCCAAGCGTGGCTCTTCCATGGCCGAGGAAAGCCAACACCAGAGCTGGCAGCGCTTAAATGAACTGGTACGGGAAGAAGCTACACCTGGGAGACAGGGAACAGACAGATCAGTGTAACCCCTAAGCAAGATCACACCCCAGATGTGTGGCTAGAGGGCAGGTATCCAGCAGCCTGTCTACCCCAGAGAGACGTGGGAGCTACAGACACACAGATGGATTTAGAGGGGTCCCTGGTGATCAGTTAGGCCACAGCAACCTCAGGTTAAGCCGGGGGCAGATGTTTGCTCCAGGACCTATGCAAGATCCCCGGTGGTTTCACTGAGGTTGCCTGCTCGTAGGATGTGCTCACATCCTCGCAATATTTCTTCCAGGCCAGCCACGGTGCTCATTAACTCACTTTGTAGCCAGGATGAAACCCAGACATCCCTCTGGAAGAGGGGCAGGAGGGCCTCCTCTTCACCGTGACCACTGAGAAAGGTGTCCCCTTCTTGCACCAGTGCCCTTGGCACTCCTACTCCTCCGAGTAGGAGTCATCAAGGCTGCCAGGACAACACAATGCGCTCACCATGGCTGAATTATACCTAGAGGCAGATTTTGGGACTGAAGCCCAGCTCCTGCTCCATTTCTGAAGCGATGCGGTTGGGTTTCCCCCAGGATGTTTGGTGAATCCCCGCCGCATCACCCCCAGAGATTTCATTTGCCTAGCTGGTCCTCAAGATGCTACAGGTTTCTACTTTGGGTAGGAAAGGCGAAAAACAAAAAATGCAGATGCAGCGAGAAAAGAGAACTTGAGGGCGATACCATGATCCCAGGGTTTCGGAGTTGTCTTGACAGTAGCTGCGGTGGTTTTGATGTACGACTAACGCGTATATTGATAAATATTGTGGTGTTTTCTCAGGAAGGAAGAGCTTACAGTCGTTGCAGGCAGCTTCTATTTGTGCATGCTGAGGGGCAGTGCTGAAAAGGGAGAAGGAGGGAGAGGATCTAGCCTGCTATTTCTATTTAAGGATGTATTTAAGCTAACCGCTTCCTGGATGCCAGTAATTCACAAGAGTGACCCTCACACATCCATTGTGGACTTCTGGCCAGCATCAGCTGAACAGGTTAGAAATATCCTAAGAGCTTCTGTATTTTTAGCAGCAGCTGTATCTTCGCCAGCAAGAGTAATTTTTTATTTCTGTTCTTGAAGATATTTTTTTTTTACACCCAACGGATCTTCCAGATCTCTCTCTCATGGTACCTAAATCAGTCACCTACAAAAACATGGTGCAAATACTTCCCAAAGGTCACAATCGTGGCAGAAAAGATGTGCTCCACTGCACTTCTGCAGCCATTAAACCCCTTAAAAACATGTAATTTAGTGGCATTAAGCCATAGAAAGCTTCACACTAGTTCAAAGAGGTCAAAGCTTTCCCTGAGGACACTTAAAAATAGGTGATGGGAAATGAGAGGGGAGGTGGGCGAGCCGTGCGTGGAAAGAAGTGAGCTCAAAATTTTTTTTTATGCAGAGAGAAACGTGAGCTTTTACACACCTGATCCTCCTCCAAAAGATAAGGATGAAAAAACCTGTCACAGTGTCTCCAAACATAAGCCAGGGATGGAGCAAGAACATCAACAGCCTCAAGAGGTGAGCAGAAAATAACTGAAGTATTACAGGAGAGAAAGAACAAAAAACCAAAAACCTTTGCCATGTTTGATGGGGATGCGAGATAGCCAACCCTGACGTAAACATCGTGGAGATGCCGGCTCTCCTGCCCTTGAGCGAGGATCTCCACGAGCAAGTGCATAAGGATTTGCAGGTTCTGAGATGCCTGCAGCAAGCAAATCTCTCAGCTACGCTGAAACCATCAGGTTTGTTTCGAGAGAAAGAGAACTTTCAGAACACCCTTCCATTCTCCACAGCTCACCCAACACTCCTTGTAGAAGAGAGAGGAAAAAAAGTGGTTTTTCAAAAAAAATTACACCCAAAAAACCCCAGCTGCATCAAACCATCACCACTGCGGTTTGTGGTCCCTCATTTGCTTCAAAGACAAATGTGCCTCCTGCCGAAACCTGCGGGAGAGCTGTACCCACCCCAGGTCAGCACCAACCAGTTCAGCATGCATGAAAACCCAGGCAGAAATGCCCAGGATTCGAGAACAGTGTTGGTTTCTCTCTTACATAAAAATGTGTTTTGGTCACTTGATGCAGTGCCCAGTTTCCAGCCCAAGGCTCCTTCCAACTGAACTGGGATGTTCTCTATCCCTTTGTGCCTTCTACACCTCGAAACACATTCCCAGCCAGGCTATGTGCATTTATCCACACATGGAAAGCACTTTTTCAGACCTTTTTTCCCCTGATGTTGCATTCTAAGCAGAACTGTTCCCATTATACCACTGTCCTTTTTTTCCAAAAGGTTCCTAGCTCAAAACTACAAAATAAAATAACACCAACACAAGGATACAGCCCATGGGAAGGGAACACACGGGTCTCCAAGCCCTGTGCTGGTGATTACCAGCTCAGATGCAACTCGGTGGAGTTTTATTTGTACTTGGATGCAAAATAGCCAGTGCTTGTTGCGGCAAACACCAGGTATAGAAGTGACATTTCACCAGAATCAGCCAAAGCCTAACGAAATCGGTCCAAAACCAGGTTGGTCAAAGCACCTATAAAGCCTACTGTCACTTGAGCTAAGGTGCACAGACTCGCTGGTGATGTGACATGGGGACAAGGTCTCATTTCTGGAGATACCAGAGCGGTGTGACGCTCGCCAATATCTACAAGTGGGTGAAAAACCGACCGTGGGCATCTTGAAAAGTACGGCACAAGTATATGGTCTGCTTGAGGGCTAAAGAAAAGGAATATATTGAGGGAGTTTTGAAAGAGACAATAAGGAGAAAGGCTCAGAGCAAGAACAAAAGCTTGATCCCAGTGAGGGAAATTAAAGGAAACTTTTACGAAATGTGCATCTGATATTCCAGCCTCTCCGGTCAATTCTGAGCCATAGGACCTCTGCGGAGGACCTTCGGTGGCATGTCAGAGCATGCCAGCCCACCCCAGAGTCGGGACAGTTTCTGGGACATCCCGTCCACCCCGGAGATGCAAATAGCATCAAGCAAGAGCAGGAGAAAATCCCCG